GCCCTGCCCTGCCCTGCCCTGCCCTGCCCTGCCCTGCCCTGCCCTGCCCTGCCCTGCCCGGGTAGCCTAAAGGACCTTCTCCAATTCTAGGATTCTCTGAAATCAAAACCCAGCAAATAACGCAGAGGCAGCCCTTGTTTCACCCAAAGAGAGCAGCTGCTCATTTCTATGGCTGAGTCCTAGAAAGCACGAAGGAGAGCTCTGAGCAAGCCCAGGGCCGTGGGGTGGACCAAAGCAGCCCTGTGTTAGTCCGCTGGACATGATTAGAAGAATAAAAGGCGGTCGTCCAGTAGGCTGGGCTCCTTCCAAAAGCATTGATTGACTGATTTGTCCACTTCCTTTTGTGTGCAACCTCCACTTATATCCTGTGCCATTTCCCGAGACTCCAAGCGGTTTATAAAGAGGAGGTTCTTGAGGATCAGGTTTCCATGAAATACATACGGTTTAACGCTTCCAAGTGTTTGAGGAAATTATGCAACATGATTCTAAAGAGATGAACCTCTCCCTACACCCAGTCAGTGAAGAGAAGCATCTCCTGATGCAAGCAGAAGGGGCAGCTCCCAGGCAGCAGAGGCAAAGGCCAGAGCCTTTGCTCTAGAGATGCCAAGGGTTTGTATACTTTTGCCTGGAAAGCACATGCTCCAGTTACCCTGCACTGTGAAGTATCCATTTTTATTTAGCAGATACTCTAACAATCCAGTCTTGTGAAACCTATAAATTCTATTCATAAAGTTAGCATAAGTTGGAAGAATACGTATCTGCCATAAAGGTGCTGCTTTCAGATCAGATCAGGATCAAAACTAAACTTGGAGCAGCTTGGCTGTAAGCAGCAAATGGAAGGAGAGAATCCCTTCTGCGTTGTACCTGGCTGAGATCGCCAGTCCTCTGGCTTGCAGAGCAAAATTCCAGCGACTGAGTATATCAAGGGATCCAAACTCGCGTCCTGCTAGTGAAATCTGCCTGGCCACTGCTGGATACAGTGTGGGGCTAGATGGACCCAGCATGGACTGATCCTTCAGCAAAGACTCTAGAGACCCTTCTGACCCACTGTTCACAGGCAGGATACTGAACTGCTTCTATTCAGGATCTTTTCCCAAACACACATTGAACTCTGTGGCTGTGAAAAAGGTTTTGTATGCTTTATCTACAAATTCTATAGTTTGCACCAAGGAGTGCAATGCTATTGCAATGCTTGGAGTTTGCACCAAGCCAATGCTATTCTAGGTAGGCATGATTCAAGAATCCATCAGAACATCAGACCCACAACTGCTGCATTACTGACTCATCATTGCCCTGGGGATGGCTGTGCCTGCATGACCCAAAGCCTTGGCTCACACAACAGGCTTACCCCTAAACTCAAGTCAGCATAACCCAATGGCTGTGTTCACATAACACAATACCCAAGCAAAGAACTGTATCATGGCTTCATATGATGGCATGCCAAGTTGAAGGAAGAGGTCCTATGACATCTTTAACCAAAAACCCAGTCAGACTCTGAAGGAGCACGATGAGGAGTTTTGCTAAACAGTTCCACTTACCCAGCTCTTCTTGGCTCAAGCAATGTCAGCAAAACCTGTGTCCCATTCACAAGGCAGTTCTCCATCAATTCCTCATCAAACATGTTCTTCAAAAGCTGCTCCACACACTCCTGCCTGAGACACCAAACAGAAGTTAGCGTTACAGGCAGTCCTCACTTAACTATGGTAATTGGGACCGGCAATTCCATTGCTAAGCGATGCAGTCGTAAAGCGCACATCATGTGTTCATGCTGACTTACGATGGCAGTTGCAGCAGTCCCAGTTGTCATTGTTAGGCAAATCCTACCACTTGCAACCTCCTGTCGGCGTCCCCACTGGCTCTGCTTGTTGGAAGCCAACAGTAAAGGTTACAAATGGCAATCACGTGACCGTGGGACACTGCGACCACTGTAATTGTGAGCCAGTTGCCCAGTGCCTGGATCACAATCACATGATCGCAGAGACACTGCAACGGCGATAACTATGAGGAATGGTCATACCTGTATGTATGCATCCCAGCGCAGGCAGTCTACCGAACGGATCACAGTTTGTTTGCAACTGTCTCTCGGCATGCAATTTCCCCCACGTCTACTTCCATCACCCTGGCTCCCACCCCCAACTGGCTCTCTGGAGTGGGAAGACTTTGGGGCCACCTGTCCACATGCAATACAGACAATGCAACCTGTTGCTGCTGCCGTTTCCAAATCTGGCCAGATGAGTCATCCAGATATTTTTCAGGATCAAACAACGTTGCTTCCCCAAAAACCACCTTTCTTCCAAGGAGCTGAAGGCAGTGGACACTATTCTCTCCCACCCCACAACCACCCTGTAAGTTGTTAGACTGAGTGAGAGAGACTTGTTCATGGGTATGTCGAGATTTGAGCCTGGTCCTTACAGTGCTAACCCAAAAGCCTTGCCACAACACCATACCTTCATTTTTCAACATGACCTATGCATGGATGGGCAGAAGAAACTCAGAACTGGAAGACTTATCCTACTCTATCCCACCCCCAAGACTACCCAGGCCATCAGCCAAGCTGCAGCCTGACTCTTCTGCAGTTTCATAGAGGGAGACGCTATCCCAGTGCTCCTAATTCCTCCTCCCACACAACAGCTGCTTTCTGTACTTACGACTCCAGGGATGCAAGGAGAGGGTCAAGGTCAGCCACCTCCTGGAGCTGGTTGCTCTGATCTCTGCTCAGCCTGATGATATCACACAAGGTTTGAGAAGCATTGGATTGTCTCTGCAAACCGGGCAACAAGTCAATCCTGGCAAAAGGGTCCTTCAGAGGCCCGAGAGTTAACGAAGAGCAACCCCCAACCCCCCAGAAATGGTAGGGGAAAGCCAGCAGGTCCCCTAAACACAGTCACAACAAAACTCCTGGACTCGGCCTAAATCCTCACAGCTGAGAAACAGGATCCTCCATATGGTTTCTGAACCGGGCCTAGTGACAGGGTTCCTTGGTTCTTATGTTATGCATTGCTTAATTTTGATTGATTTAATTAGTTATAGCCTCTAGTGTATTTATTCTCTCTATTGCAAAATGTCACCTGATTGGTATTCCGCTATTTCCTTAGAGCTGCCTTTTTAATGTGTCTAATTTGCATTTCTGCATTCTTTAATTGATAATTCTTTATTATTCCATACTTAATATTTAAGCTTAATAACAACAGCTGTCATTGTTGTGTGAATCAGGCTGATGTGGCTTGTTCAGCAAACCACGGTAAAACCTATCATGCCTTAGTATGACAAAGGAAACCAGCCACTGTGCCTAAGAAGTGTTTCCCCAAGGAAGAAAACAGACAAAACAAGGAGGAGGATGCCATCTAACAATGCCTGGGAGCAAGAGAACAGACATTCACTATCTGGAGGATTCTGACCAGGGCAGGAGCTGGAGGTCTGGCAACAAAACAACCACCCACTGCCCACAAGCTCTATCTAGCAGACACTGAACAGGATTCCCCTCTCCAAAAGGCCCCTTCCTGTTAAGGAGCCCTTGGCATCAGAATGGGAGAGCTGAAGCCCACAGGCTCCCTCAGAACAGCCCCAGGGATTCCAGGGTTCAGCAGAAGGAATCTGAAGCCTCCCTGAGACAGTCTGCCAGCCTCCCACCTCTCTTTTCGTAGGATAGCAAAAAGGCGCCTCTCCTTTGCTTGACCACTGGTAAAGGCACACTCACATCTTCATCCTGGCGAGGGTGGATCAGCTCCACCAGCCTCTGAACAAGCTTTGCATCATTCAGCCACTGTAGGACAGAATAAGAAGCAGACCAGATAAGCACACTGCCTTGCCCAATGCCCCATCTGAGCCTTAGATGTTTCTCCCACCACCACTGCTGCACCTCCTTCCTCTTATCAAATCTTGCACTTTATTCCCAGAAGCTCCAGTGAAGCCCCATCTTGGAAGAGGCCATGGTTAACTCTGCCCACAACAGCCAAAAGAAAGACAGACAGGCAGGCATCCTGCCTCCCCACTTCCCAGGACCGGCAAAGAGACCTTCGATTGAGTGCACTGCTCTGCTGTGAGAAAGGGGGCTTGCGGAACAAGCAGTTCTGAGTAACTCCCGTTGAGCACTGCAAGAAAGCCAAAGCTCCCCACTCCCAGCAGTGAGGCTGAAGGCTGCCAGCAAAGGGGAATTATCCTAAGAGAAAGTCGGTGCCACAAAGCCTCCAGTCACCTCTGCTCCTTCCAAGGGAAGGAGGCCCTAACCCAAACCCCGGGTGATCCTGGGCAAATGGCCCGGCCTTCCTGAATGCCAGAGGGCCGTCTTCCACGGCACCCAGCTTAACCAAATCTGCTGGGGAGAAGAGCAAGGGTCTGACATCTTTACATGGGTAATCTCCCAATGCGGGCCACACCACTGACCATGTCTGAGCAGCAGAATCAACCTTTCCCTCAACATCAGAAAAGATGCCTTGGCTAAACAGCCCAGAGCGCCTGCAGGGAAGAGAAAGTAAAGAGCAAGAGGAGCCTGACATGTAGCACTTCCTGGCGTAGCTGGGCTGGCTCCACGCAGCTGACCAACCGCAACAGAAGGTCCATCATGGCGGACGTCTCAAGATGCTTGAGCACCAGATCGACAAACTGGACTTTCTTCTTCAGGAATGAAATCACCTGGGAAAAACAGCAACAACAGTGAGGCACAATCAAAGCTCTTAATTTAAAAAAACATATATATTATAGCTAATATTTGCAGGCCGTTTTTCCTGCACGAGGAAGCTTAGAACAATGAACATAGTATTATTAAACATATAAGCAATACGACATTAAAATTATAAAAGAGGTTTAAAAACTCATTTATTAACTAATTTATAAAATGTATGGCTAAACTACTTTAATTTTTAGATGCATGCAGAATCTAACCACTTTGGAAGGTTACAAGGATGCCACTTGACTCAGTGACCACAAGTGACTATAGTATGGTGTATTTGATTTCTCTGACTGGACCACAGCAAGGAGACCGTCTACCCTGCAGGGAAACATGGGCTGAACGAGGCCTCTCCAGAAGCCCACGTTAGTGCAGTAGCAGCAGACTACTGGAACTTGTAGTTCAGCATCAGAACCGATAAGAATACTAAACCTAAACCTGCCACACAGTTTGGAAAAGGAATGACAAAGCAGATGTGGCCAGTTCGTAAAGGGGATAGCAAAACCCTTTTCATGGCAAGGCCAGCTCAGCATCTTGAAAACAGCTGCATTTCTAGGCCAGTTTTAGCATCTCTACGAACTTATCCTACCCTTAGAATTTCCTATGCTAACTGGGGTGCCACTATATCCCACTGATGTTAAGGGTATCTAATATTCTACACTATAAAACAAAATAATAAGATATTCACTAAACCCTTATGTTACGTAAGTTTCAAAAAAAGACAAATTGCTATTTATTAAGAGTACAAGAAACTGAAACCAAACCACAACCAATTTACTTCTTCCAATAGAAGAGAGTATCTGTACCTCAGGACTGAACCGAGGAGTCCTTGGTGCTCTCTGAGCTTGTTTGTTTGTTGGCAGATGCAACTAGGTACATCATCAATGTGAGTGTGGGCATTTTCTCCCTGTTTATATACAGTAGCTTGCCCTGCCAGTGTTGGTGGGGGTGGGGTTTTCTCCTTGGCAGTTCCTTGATTAGGGTATACTTTTCTGCTTGTTTGTCTGGTGTTAATCCCTGCTTATCTGGGTGTTGGCTGCTGGGGGGATCTGTTCTGGTCTTTCTGCTCCCTTCTTAGCTTTTTCTTATTGTCTCTTTTGAATGGTGTGTAGATGTGGTTTATCTCTATGTGTCTGTTGATGGCTGTCTTGTCTGAATACCAAGCTTCCAGGAATTTCCTACTGTTTGGATTTAGCTTGGTCTGGGATGCTCAGAGTTTCCCA